GTTGGACATGCCTTCATTGCACAGCCTGCGAAGGGAAATTGGGAAATTTTAATTACCGCGTTGGACATGCCTTCATTGCACAGCCTGCAAAAGGAAATTGGGAAATTTTAATTACCCAACAAAAGATACACAGTAAAAACTGGGAACTCTGTTTGCATTATCAAACCATTTTTCTGTTTCATCCTTATCAATAGCTTTGTTATCACATAACATGTTTAAGGAGGGAAGACATTGACAATTCGTCTTCACGATGAGATTCTTCGTGATTAGAGGTTCATTAAAAAATTTGCTCAAGACAGAAACGAAACGGCATTTATACCACCTGCAGTGAACAGGGGATGCCAATTGTTGTTCCTGACCATCCAAAAAGTCACCCAGAGCGCCAATCTACCCGTTTTAACCAAAAGAGCTGGTTTGACATTACACTGTTAACGTCAAAACTCAAGGTGTCCAGCATAGATTATAACAACCCTCTCAAGTCAGAGTTCAAGTGTTTACCTGTTCTCCTCTCCCTCCAGCAGCTTCCTGTACATGGCAATCTCAACGTCCAGGGCATTCTTGATGTTGAGCAGCTCCTGGTCCTCCTTCAGCAAGCGAGCCAGCTCCTCCTTGTCTTTCTGTAGGGCAGTTTCCAGCTCTTCCAGTTTTAACCTGGCATCCTTCAGGGCCATCTCACCCCGCTCCTCAGCCTCGGCAATAGCTGCCTGCAGCTGCTGGTTCTGAGGAAGGAGAAAGGGCACTTTCTGAGACCTCATTTTGTCACTGAGGATCAGCCCTCAAACCCCAAGTGGAGAAACCACGGACAAAAAAAAAGGAAACATCTACATGAAGTAAACAAGGGGTGGCTGAAGAAAGCATTTCTGCCCCACACATGGTCATGTGTGATCCAAGCATCCCGTGAGACACCTGCCAACCCCTACCTGCTTCTTCACGTTCTCAATCTCAGCCCGCAGCCTCTGGATGTTCCTGGTCAACTCTTGGATCTCGATCTTGGTGTTGCGGAGGCTGTCCCCATGCATTCCAGCGGTGTTCTGCAGCTGTTCGTACTGATGGCACCAAGACAAAGCAAACCCTCAGTGAAACATTCCTGATGCCTAGATGAGATTTGTCAACGGTTTCATAGCTCATGTGCTGCTATGAGGACCTATCACGTCGGTCCTGGATGCCCAGCTCAATGTAAAAGATGGCTCTGAGACTCAATTATTGGTTTTGAACTTTAAAATAGCTCTTAGTGACACTAATAAGCACCCCTTGGCTTCTGAAAAACTACTTTGGGCACATATTTTCTAGTTAAGGTACATTTTTGGCCATCTTTATTGAGAGGCTCGTACCATGCACCAAAGTGAGATTCTGGACACCTTGAAAACAGTGAGTCAGGTCCCTCAAAAGCAATACAATTCCTCTTGAGACTTCCTTGCATGCAGTCCAGCACCGTTAGCTTGAAGAGATGTCTCACATTGTCACAAGTTACCTGCAAACTCTAGCCGTCACCCAGGGTGCCTTAATTGCTTCCCAACTCACCTGGCTCTGGTACCAAGCCTCAGCTTCGGCTCTGCTGCTCTGAGCGATCTGCTCGTACTGACGCCTGACCTCCTCGATGATGCTGTCCAGATCCAGGTGACGGTTGTTGTCCATGGACACCACCACGGACAGGTCCCGGCTGATTGTCTGCATCTGAGACAGTTCCTACAACCAAGACAAGCAGCCCAGGTGACTCCCAAGCCAAAATCCACCTGGGCACCCAGTCCCACCTCAATGTCTTTGCCCACCACACGCCTCATTGCAACTCCAGCCAGCCCAGGGCAAGGGAGAGCTCTTACCTCCTCGTAGATGCACCTCAGGAAGTTGATTTCGTCCGTCAGAGCTCCAACCTTGGCTTCCAACTCTACTTTAGTCATGTAGGCAGAGTCCACGTCCTAAAGGAAAGATCACGGAGAATAGCTTCATTTCCTCTCGGAAACCCCTTAGGATCATGGAAATTACGGTCTGTGCTGTGGGTAACAGCCGTGACGGTGTTATTCAGTTATGCAAATTAAAAACAAGGAACTTCAATATCAGCCCACAGAACCTACAGTCTCCACAAATTCCCCTTCAGGAGGGAGTCCGCTCCAAGCACACAGAAAGCCTGATACTCCAGCCATCGCTTTGCACTGCCTGTGACTCACCTTCTTGAGCACCACAAACTCGTTCTCGGCTGTTGTGCGCCTGTTGATCTCTTCCTCATACCTATGGAAAGTAAAAATACAAGCTGAGTTTCCCGAATTTTCCTGCCTAAGGCCACACTAAACAAACTAAAAGGAAAAACACACACACAAAAACCCCCAAACAACAAAAAAACACCAGAAGTAAATATTCAGACTGGAAAAAACTGTATCTGCAATTGCCATAAAAAGCATGTGTGTGAAGAACAGTGATGACCAAGCTGCTTGAGTTGGTTTCTGGGTCAGACTCTCACTGCACTTACTTGGTTTTGTAATCCTCGACGTATTGCTGCATGTTCTGCAGCTCTGACTCCAGCTGTCCCCTCTGCGCCAAGATTGAGTCCAGCTGCCTCCTCAGGTTCTGGATGTAATTTTCAAAGATGACATCAAGGTTCTTCCTTGGCCCCGAAGGCCCTTGCTGTTGGAGAAGCTCCCACTTGGTGGAGAGGACCTTGTTCTGTTGCTCCAGGAAGCGGACCTGAAAGCCAACACATGGAGTATCCACCATCACATGGGGAATAGCAGCAGCAGCCAAGGCACCTTTTTCATCATGTAAAAAGATTCTCCTTTACATGATGATGAGAGAACCCATCGACATTTTTTATTTATTTATTTCTGTTGTTGCCTAAACTGCAAGATCGGGAAAAGAAGGAAATTTCTAAGTCGTGTTCAAGTCAAAGGAGCTTTTAAATGTAGCACCAGCTCCAAGTGCATTCCCATCGCAGGCAGTGTAGAAATCTCAGATTTCTAGTCTAGATTTAAAAGCCTGGATATTTGAAAAGAAAGAGGAAAAAAATTATATTAGTGAATACTGAAATGGGAGGGTATTTGGAAAGAGAATGGTACAGGAGGGAAAATTTGTGCCTGAAACCTGCAGATGTTTGAAGACGTTGAGCCTGCTTGCAAGAACAACCTATTAGTTGAGCCTGGTGCAACAGGCTAGATTAAAGCCCTGAAGACATAGCTTTGATCTCGCATGGAAGAGAGATTCTCATCTCTTCCCTAGCACCACTTAATAAAAAGACTGTGCTCAAGCTTCTCAGCCTGCTGATATTTAGCTCGAAAAGGACGTTTCTGCAGAACTTGAAAGTTCCTCCCAGTTTTGACCCTTCATTCGACACAATCCCACCCTCTCACCTTATCAATGAAAGAGGCAAATTGATTGTTCAGGGTCTTGATCTGTTCCTTCTCCTGGTTTTTGACTTGCTGGATCTGGGGATCAATCTCCACATGGACCGGCCGCAGGAGGGTTGAGTCAACCTGCACTGGCTGGATTCCAGGGCCACCTCTACCAGGGCCACCAAAGCCTGGTCCACCAAAGCCTCCCATTCCTCCACCACCCATTCCTCCACCATAACCACCCATTCCTCCACCAAAGCCGCCCATTCCTCCACCACCACCCATTCCACCAAAGCCACCCATTCCTCCTCCACCCATTCCTCCGCCAAAGCTGCCCATTCCTCCTCCATAGCTTCCACCAAAGCCACCCATTCTGCCTCCATATCCTCCACCGCCGTAACATCCACCCATGGAAATCCTTCCACCGCCACCCATGGAGTGGAGACTCTTGCTGCTAAACCCTCCGCAACGTCCACCACCTCCAAATCCCCTGGACATAGAGAATGAGCTGTAGCTGCTCCTGCTTCTGCCGCCCCCCCCTCCAAAGCCACCACCGATGGCAGAGCAAGAGCTGTAGCCCCTTCTACTCCCGCCTCCAAAGCTTCTGCAGACAGATTGCCGAGACATGGCTGTTCCTTCCAAGCAGAGTCAAAAATCGAGAAGATCAGAAAGACGGACGGAGCTGTGCCGTGAGGAGATGAGTGCAAAGAGAAGGGAAGGGAGTCCCTCTGACGGGAGGGCAGGAGATGCTCGCTTTTATCTGTTTCTGGAGGAGGGCTGGGTTTGCATGGGCGTGAAGGAGGAGACAGTTACTGTCTTCATCAGCGTGGTGTGGTTTACAGATTTTCATCTTCAATTTGCCAAACATTGACCCTACCCAGAAACACACCCTATAATGGAGGAGAAAATTAAAAAAGATACAACTGTGTCTACCAAATGGTAGCAACTCAATGACTAAGGAGTCTTACACTTTTGTGGTATAGTAACAGTCTCCCTAGGATATACTAGGGTTCTTTTTTTTCACCTTTCATCCATTGTGGTTGTTTCCCTGCTTCTGTTTATCTTTATTTTGATCTTTCACTCCAAAGCCCCATGGCAGGGAAGCGCTATAGTTCATGCCAAGTTGTAGCATGGCTTTCACAATTCCCCCAACACACCTATGTTACACCCTTCGTCGTCTTTTTACATGGAAAATTGCCCTTGGCTTTGAGAAGTAGTTTCTCAATCTGGAGCCAGGACTCAGCAAATTGCATTTTGATGAGGCTCTGCGTCTTTTCGATAAATAAAACCTTACCAGAAACGAGGTACCGGAGCAATGGTTGGCACTGGAAATTCATTTATTGTTGGACCAAACTCTTACTGAAAATGAGTCCCAGAGTCTTCGTGCCAAGATAGTCTCAGCACCGGTGAAGAAATGCCACGAATATCACAGATGGGAAATCCCTCGAGTATTTTCTGAAGGCTTCAAGACCATGAGAAGACCCAGAGAGGACATCAGGGACCCAGCTGCTGCGGTGGGAAGTGTGGACAGGCGGAGGGACGGCTCCGAGAACCGACAGCGAGAAGGAGGCGTGCAAAATCGCGCTGCCCACATCATAACTCCTGTAACTGTTTAAAGGCAATTAGCGAGGCAGGGGATGCTGGAGAAGCTCAGCTCCTTTGTAGAGACGCAGAGAAACGAGGCGAGCAGAGGGCACAACGACTTTCATTTGAGGAAATGCGTGTTTTTCAGCTGCCTGCCTTATTTCGGTATTTGTATGCAAATGTATTTTTGGCAGACATACACACTTCTGGGCTCTGTTGGGCTTCCCCCCTCCTTCAAGAAGACGGGTGGGTGTCCTTTTTAAGCGTATTGGAAAGCAGTGACCGGATTTTAGAAAGGCAGACGCTTGTCGGGATGCTCCGGGTTTGATGCCACACAGAGAAAGGATTAGCTGCTGAGTTAAACCCAGTCATACAACTACGACCCGTCACGCGCTCATCCTTTTGTCTTGCAGAAGCCTGCTAATCAAATAACAATTAGTGTCTCACTTTAAATTTTTTTATTGAGAAATTCCTTCTTTTAATTAGTTTTCAACTGTTTTAAACCACCTAAGAAGTTCCAAAGTTCAAAAATCTTTCTGACTGTGGAGACACCTAACTGTGCTGGTAGCTGTCTAGCAAGGCTCTCGGAAGTTCCCATAGGACACAGGCAATTAAATCCTTCTTGAAAATCCACACCGGCAACTCTTGGTATCGTCAGATGTTTAAATACCTCTAAAAATATCGCCCAGACACCTATTTCCAAAAGTGCCTAGGGACCCAGATCGTGGCGTAACCTGCAGCTAAACTGGCATTTCCACTGAAAAACACGACTGTCCCCACGCAGTCCACTCACCCACCTCCCTCCCCAGCACCAGCGTGGATTCGTGAGCACACAGGGAAGCGGATCAGGAGATAGATAAGGCTAGAAAAAAATATATATAGTAACTACAAGTCACTGTGAGACTGAAGGGATGGGGAGGACGGGGGGTTTGGTGGTTGTACAGCATGGTTTATAGACAATAAATTAACAGACAACAAATATGTGGGCTGAGGAGGTCCCGTGTGCCTCGTTGGCCTTCAGCAAGACTTTGTCTCCTAGATGCCACAGTTGGGACCAACGCCTGCCCGGGCTGGGAGGTTTTGAAGCACAACCTCAAACATCACTGCAACCATGAGCCAAAAGACTTGACAAACATCTGATCCCCTCTCGGGGCAAAGGCAAAAGCCGTCTCTCAACAGCCCTTCCCGTCTAGAGGAGAGGCAAATTGCAGGCAAGACCTGGCATCACCGTCTCCGCGGACCTGGGCTGTGAGCATGCTTCACTTCTGATTTATCAGTCAAATGTGTTCCACGGCCGCCTGCCACACCGCAAGGTTTAGGAGGTGTCGTGGGTTTATAGCTGCTATGGAGATCATCACGTATATGTGCGGGCACAGACGCACATGCGTTTAACAATGCATTACCTCCCTCTGCATTACCAAATACACGGTTACATTTTGGGGGGAGGGAGTTGGGATATTTTTTTTTCTTTTTCTGTGGGTGGGAGGATGTGATCAGAAAGTTTTCACGTTCCCAGCCGCGCTGGGAGGAGATGCGTTAAGTCAGCACAATACTGGAGTCCCGAGCGCCCGTGTTTAGATAACACGCTCGTTGAGTCACGGCGGCGTCTCCAGCCAAGTTTGGGAAATCAGACCGGGATTTGGCTATCGACATCATCACCCGCTTCAAACGCAACAGGCAGCTTTAGACTGCGGGGATCTCAAACTACGTCCTTGTGCCCAAAGCCCTAACGAGGGAAAACGGCTTTTAAAGGTCCCTTCCAACCCAAATTATTCTATGATTTTCTGTTTCTATGAAAATAAACAGGCAGGAGTACAGGAAAAGCTGCTCAAGCCTTGAATACTTGGAGGAAAAGGCTCATTTCAGCAGCAGCGCTGTGAGTTGACGTGAACTGAACTTAGGAAAAGTCTCCAACCACCAAAAGGGAGAATTTCTGGGGGAAAAAAAACAAAGCAAAGCAAAGCATTTAATTCCCACACTTTCCATAAAACAGTTGACATCTGAGTGTTTTCACTGTGCTTTAGAAGAGGCTTTTAAAACGGTGGGAAATCACAACAAAATTAAACCAAGCTTATTTCGGGCCGCGTAAAAGGTTTTCGCTCCTCCAGCAAAAGGCAGAAATTTTGTCACATCTCGGTCCAGCCCAGCAGAACTTTCCCGTAATTGCTGGTGCAGTCATAGGAACAAAAGGCAAGAGCTTTTTGGTGTCTGTTTGTTTTAACTACAGCATCTGTGCACATTTAGAAGCCTTTTGTCTCCTCATCGCGCTGCCCTGATGTCAGGAGCCGTTTGCTGGAGGCTAGTTTACAGAGAGGCAGCTAAATTGGGGTGACTCTGAGGGAAGGAGATGTCTTTTCTTTCAACGCAGTCTCAGGTCCCTTTACAACTCACTGGAATATTTAACCACTGCCCAAACCATCTCCCCAACCAAGTAGCTACACGCCTTTGCTGGCAGCGCCGTGACGTGCCGCGGTCTCTGGTACGTTTGTGTCTCGAGCATTTACAAACAGGGAACGGAGCATGGGATAAATGCGATGACTCATCCGGATCGCAGAGCGAGTCTGCGGTTGACCAGGGATGTGATTCAAGGTCTCCTGAGCAAGAGGTCAAACCACACCAGAAGTTTTGGGCTCTAAATTTGCAGGCTAGCAAAAATATTCTACTTTTGTGGAGAGGCAGGGCTTGACAGGGGGGTGAGGTCTTGCTCTTCCCATGGCCTCAGTTACCGTTTGGAGATGCCTTAAAAGCAACCCATGGATCCCTGGCCAGTCCAGGCAACAGTAAAAGCTGCAGGGCTGGCTCCAGCATCATGAATGCTGAGGAATTAGCTCTGAATTAGCTGGAGGGGTGATGATCTCCCTTCCCTCTTCCACACCGCCCGTTATAGGATGCTCCAAAGGTACTTAGGGCCGTGCCACGTCTTTGCCAAGACAGCACCTCAGCATTGGGACCACCTCGGAGGACAGGGAAGCCAGTGGGGTGCTCGGAGGCGGTGGTCGGTCGGAGGTGGACTGGTCAGGGAATACCCCAAGTTGGCCAACACGAGCAAGGAAAGGGCGTAGGAAGAGAAAGGGGAAGGGAACGGTCTCCTAACATCAACCGAGTCCGAAAGTCTCCTCTACTCTAATGGGGCCAACTGGTCTCACACCAGGAGACCCAGCAGAAGGACCGAGAAGAAGACCATCCAGGTTCAACCCAGCTGCCTCTTTCTCTCCTGCCACGCTGCCAGGAACGGGCTTGTTCCCACGGACGTCATTCAAGAAAACCCCGCGTCTTTCACAGACTCAGCCGGATCAGACCATCACACTGAGCCTGACCCAGCAATTTTTGCCACCCCGACCACCTCACCCCTGCAAGACCTCCTTCGCCCTCCTGCCAAACTTACAAACCATCCCAATTTTTGGGGGGGAGAGAGGGGTGAGAAGGATGGGAGAGCGGGCTACACGTTCGCTTCGGTTCCTTTAAATGCAAACTTCAAAGGGCAAGAGAAAGTCAGGTAACACTTTCAGGTCTCGGTAAAAGAGGAGTCTTGTTGCAACACGAAACTCTTTGGTCAGAGAGAAAAACCACACAAGCTTACTGCCTCTGGTGTTTATTAGGGTATGCCACATGCCAAAGGAGAAAGGCTTAAGCAAACAAGCACAATTGTTCCCATGATCGCAATGAACAGGTAAACCCTGAGCAAAACTCAACATTTTACAGCACCTTCTAAAGAACACGGGTGAAACTGCCAGTATCTTGCTTAGGAAAAGAAAAAAAAAAGAAAAAAAGAAAAATCCAAACTGCAGCAGGGTAAGAAATGTCTTCAGCTGGAGCTAGTCACCATGAGGAAATTCTCGTTTTGGAGTTTGAGCCCTGGCTGATGAGTAGCACCGATTAAAATTGCACCACGTCTGGATCCAGCACAAGCTTTTGACAAGAAGCCAAGCTTTTCTGCAGGCTTCACGGGACACCAGTTCTCCCAGCAGCACATGGACCCGTCCCCTCCACCCGTCGCTGGTAGGATGCCTTGCGCTTGGACCACGCCGGTTTATAGCCCCATCCCAGCTGCGTTCGGGGATTTCCAGTGACCGGGCAGGTCCTGCTTCCAAACGAGTCCTCAGCACCCTGCTCACCCGCAGCTTTGCAGTGTCTCGAGGGAAGCGTTGGGGAAGCAAGCTGTTCTCAAACACTCCTGAGAATCTGTCGTAGCCGTGTTTGACTTTTCCAGGCAGTTTCTGAAGGATGGCAGTGGTTTAAAATGAAATGGATGGCCATCACCTTGGCAATGAAGGGAGGGATGGTGGTCATCATGAAATTTGCTTCCTTTCTCCTTTGGGGGGTGGGGATGGGGGGGATAGCTTGCTTTCCTAGACCCGCTGGTTGACAGACGTAGAGCTGACGTTCTTCTTCAGGATGGTGCCAGATCCCACCACCACTGAGTTAGACCCTCCAGACCCGAATCCCCCCCCAGCACAAAATCCTCCCCCGGAGCCGAATCCGCCCCCTCCTAGGCTGTAGCAGAGGCCAGCGCCGCCTATGTTACAGCTGCCTCTTCCACTTCCAGCACCGAATCCGATTCCTCCTCCTCCGAGGCACAGCCCGCTGCCGTATCCACCTCCCACCACGGCTGCAGAGAGGAACAGAAGGTACGAGGTTACCTCTGATGCCACCATAACATTTTAGAGCATCAATCCCAGCCCGCCATGCTCCCGTGGGAACGTTACTTACAGATGCTCACGGTGCTCTGACACTCTCCAGACATCCTGCAAGGACAAGAGACGGAGCGTCAGCTCCAGCCAGAGCATCTGGACCAGTCCCGGTCTACGAAACCAGGCTTGGTCCATCAGACCATGGGCATAAATACACGGGACCGTAGTCCATGGCTAACGGTGACACCATTAATATTTTAATAGAGGAGATGTGGCGTGCCGCGCTCTTCCCATTGATTTAGCAGGATGCAACCAAGCTCTTGCTGCATCCCCACCCACCTGCACTCCTCGCCCTCCAGCAGCTTCCTGTAGGTCGCGATCTCAACGTCCAGGGCCAGCTTGACGTTCATGAGCTCCTGGTAGTCACGGAGCTGCCGGGCCAGGTCAGCCTTGGCTTTCTGCAGAGCTGCCTCCAGCTCGGTCAGTTTGGTCCTGGCATCCTTGAGGGCCAGCTCCCCACGCTCCTCAGCATCCGTGATAGAGCTCTGCAGAGTTTCACACTGGAGGGCGAGACGGGGATGTGATGAGTGGGGCAGGGGCAGCCGGTGGGAGATGAAGCCACGATCCCAGATCACGTGGGCTCAACTACTCACAAATACAACAGGTTCCCTCCCGCTTACAACGACTGTTTGCTTTTAGGGAAGATCTGCAGGGCGTTATCAAGAGCTCACACCCATTTCTCAAAAAAATGCAACCCCTACCTGTTTCTTCACGCTCTCGATTTCAGCCCGGATCCTCTGGATCAGGCGGTTGAGCTCGGAGATCTCGACCTTTGTGTCCTTAAGGCTGTCTCCGTGTTTGCCTGCGGTCGCCTGCAGCTCTTCATACTGGTAGGTAGATGTGAGAGGAGCAGGTTAGGTCAACCATGACTGGCTCCTTGCAGCAGGTCTCCATGCCACCCGGTGCAAGCCAAGGTAGGAATGTGCACGTTGGCAACATCCCAGGTCTCAGCACAGTCTGAGCTACCACCAGTAACTCTTCCACCTCCTCGGACACGGGCGATCGCAAGCAAAGTGTAGCGAACCCACCTTGCATCGGTACCAAGTCTCAGCCTCCACTCGGCTCCTGTTGGCGATCTCCTCGTATTGGGCTTTGACCTCTGCGATGATGCTGTCGAGGTCCAGGTTTCGGTTGTTGTCCATGGAGAGAACCACAGAAGTGTCGGAAACCGTCTTCTGCATCTCAGACAGCTCCTGCGATTCACACCAGATCTGGCTTTAGCCCTGCTGTGATTTCCTTACGGCATCACAACCCTTCTCCGTCCCGGCATCCCCCTCCAGCGAGCAGCTGGACCACTTACCGCTTCGTAAAGGTACTTCAAGAAGTTGATCTCATCTGCCAGAGAATCTAATTTTGCTTGGAGTTCCACCTTGGTCATGTAGACTCCGTCCACCTCCTGCAGCAGAAACGGGACGTGAAAACCTTCTGCCTGACGCACGCCGTTTCACCCAACATTTATCTGTGAGCCCTTTGGCGCTCCCTT